TGAGCATGCCACTACACCCCAGCCTGGGCGACAGAGTGAGACCCCAACTCAAAATAATAAAATACAATTAAAAATTAGCCAGTAGCCAGGCTCGGTGGCTCAGCCTGTAATCCCGCGCTTTGGGAGGCTGAGGTAAGTGGATTGCCTGAGCCCACGGGTTCAAGACCCGCCTGGGTAACTTGGCGAGACCTCATCTCTACAATAAATCAAAAAATTAGCCGGGTGTGGTAGCACGCGCCTGTAGTTCCAGCTACTTGGAAGGCTGAGGCGGAAGGATTGCCAGAGCCCAGCAGGTCAAGGCTGCGGTGGCCGGGAGCGGCCACTGCACTCCAGTTTGGGCGACAGAGTGAGACTCCAACTCAAAAAAAAAAAAAAACAAATTAGCCAGCAAGGTGGCACACATCTGTAGTTCTAGCTACTCGGAAGGCTGAGGTGAGAGGATTGCCTGAGCTTAGGAAGTTGAGGCTGCAATGAGCCATGAGCATGCCACTGCAACAAAAAGATAAGATGTTAATCTCTTTAGAATACACTACAACACTTAAAATGTATTTTATTGTTAAACTTATTTACTTACACACTCAAAAATAATTTACCAAGTGCCTCCCATGTGCTGGGCAGGCCACAAGGTCTGGGGGTACACAGGCAGTGAAGGCACTGCAAGGATGCATAGGACAGGCACTGGGTCAGAGCACCAGCAGCCCCAGCTCTACTGCGGCATCAAGTTCCGTCACTTCCCTATGCTCTGGTTCTCATTCCCCACAATGGGGATACAGGAGCTCCCTTCCTGAGTTCCTGACAGGATCACATGAGAAAATGCAAATATCTAGTATCCCAGTGCAAAGTAAGACAGTCCCTGCGGATAATGCAGTTCAATCTATTAGGGAAATAGCTACATTAAACAAAAAACAGACTGACTATTCCAACTGGAGGGATGTAAGGATGAACTATTTTTGTGTATGGATAATCTGAAAATAAAAGTACACAAAGTTGAATAATAATGGGTCACTGGATAGAACTTCCAAGGGTGAAATTCACTTCTGTGCTCAGTTTTCAAAGATGATTCCTCAGGAACCAGTGAAATCCCTGTGTTGCAAGACAGCAGTGGTACAGAATGGGGTCCTACTATGTGCCCCTATAATTTTTGAGAGAACTGATCACTGGGACAAATGCCCAGGTAGACAGAAGTTCTAGCCTCACCTAACCTTGTTGAAGCATGACATATGGAAATGGATGAATGTCATGAAAGTATAAACACTTCTTTACACAGGGAGATGGCTCTAGAATGACAATCAAAAGATGCCACAGTGTCATTTAACTAGAAGCAGAATTCTGGCAAGGTTTAGGGAGAGTCACAGGACCAAGCAGCCCCAATTCCAAGATTCTTTGTACTATGTGTAAAAATGGAAACATTAAATATTGCCTTACCTGACAAAGCCCTATTTGAGTAAAGTGCAGTAACATGTGTGATGATCATTTGTAAAAACTAACACCACATACAAGAAAGAGGGGACTGCAGGGTTTCCTCTCCCAGGTGGGGTTCAGAGCTTAGGCAACTTGACCCAGTGTGACCACAACTTGCCTAGAAAGCTCTGGAAAGTTGTTCACTTGCTTTTTGTAAACAAAAAGAAAGTAAGTGTCAAAAATGTATTCGTTTGCTAACTACAATTCCTTTGTTGTTTCCAGATTGGCCAGCAGGGGCGACTGGTACATTAAGATGTGGTCAATTCTTTTAAGGATTTAACTTCCCTTTGAGAGGCAATGCATTCTGTTTCCCAAGCCCTATAGAATAATTCTCATTTGCAAGTTTGAAAGGAATTTCATATTCTACAATGAACTTTGAACAATCTTAGAATGTATTACAGAAAGAGAGAGGACTGACTTAGAGGGAAGAATATTTTTAAAAATATACACATTTTAAAATACTGTGCTTGGGTGAAATCAAGAAGCCACAGGAAAGTACATTAGTCCTCAGTTACAACTAAGAGGCAAATCGTGAATGCTTAGCAAATGAAATCCCAGAAGCTATTTTTAAAATAAAAACCATCCCTGGCTGGACTGGAAAAGCCTCATGACAGTCCTATTTAACCATTTGGCAATATTTACTGTATTCAGTTTTTGGAAGAGTTAAATAGAGAAAGAAGTTTTATCTCCAAGGTGAAGAACCTGCCATACATAGTCTTTTATAAAAATAGCTCAAGTCAAAACCATGATTCAGAAACAAGTCCTTATGATACAATGTTGGGTTGATCATCTATCCACTGGGTTTTTTCCTCTTTATACATTAGTGCTTATGAGATCATAAAAACCACAGATAAAAGTTCCAGAGATTGAGGTCAAAATGTTTACTTCTGTGTCCAACATCACTATGTTTAGCTGAATGGTCTGAAAAGCTTTCTTAAAAGATGAATGAATCTGACCACCAAACCCAACCACGTGGCCAGAATTAGACCAGAGGCTGAGCCCAACAACTGACTAAGAAGGTAGGCTAGGTGAACTGTTAAACTTTTCTTTTAGAAGTTGCTTTTGTGGCCGGGCTTGGTGGCTCAGCCTATAATCCCACGCTTTGGGAAGCCGAGGTGAGTGGATTGCCTGAGCCCACGGGTTTGAGACCCACCTGGGCAACTTGGCGAGACCTCATCTCTACAATAAATCAAAAAATTAGCCGGGTGTGGTAGCACGCGCCTGTAGTTCCAGCTACTTGGAAGGCTGAGCAGAAGGATGGCCGGAGCCCAGCAGGTCTCGAGGCTGCGGTGGCCAGGAGCATGCCACTGCACTCCAGTCTGGGTGACAGAGTGAGACTTCAACTCAAAAAAATAAAAAAGCCAGGCTCGGTGGCTCAGCCTATAATCCCGCGCCTTTGGGAGGCTGAGGTGAGTGGATGGTCTGAGCCCA